CCCCCCTCCCCTCTAGAACCCTCAGTTTGTTTTTCAGAGTCCATCGTCTCTCATGGCTCGTCTCCCAAGGAGGGAGCTTTTAAAGAGAATGAGTAGCTTACATGCTTGGGTGTTTTATTCTCTTTCCCCCAGAGTGGTCAAAGGACAGAGTGTGTTACGTCCAACAAATATGCTGTGCCTACATACAGTGCTTGCTCAGAAGCATTCTTCTCAAGCAATTCCATTATTAATAAAGGTAATTCAAATTTTCAAGTATAGCAAACCAAAAATAAACTGGAGGGCGTATACTGAAATGATGACTTTGGGGGAATATATTTCTATCTGCATGTTTTATTTGGGAGAATGATCTGTACGCAAACGAACCCCGGGCTGTCTGAAAGAGCAGGCCAGCTCTCACTAAGCACAATCCCGCAGGTGGTAAGAGGCCACCCACAGCACCAGCTCCGAGGCCAAGCGCTCAACTCTGCTCGGAACAGGAGACAGGACTGCGCCCTCACTTCTTCAACCCTCCGAGCCTTAGTTTCCTCACCCATAAAAAAGCAGGAGGCGTGATGCCTTCTGACGAACTTCACAGTGTTCTCATAAGGATGAAAATCAAAACGTGGTATACCAGATAAAGGAGATGGTGCTAGCTAAGAACACATCTTTTCCTTTCTTTTTTTTTGAGATGGAAAATGGTCTTGAAGCCATCTTTCAAGACAATCCAACAGTTTTTAAATGTCCATAATAGATCAAGTAAAGATGAAATACTTACTTGGGGAATCATTTTGCCAGAATCCCACGGAGACCCTGGAAGATGCGAGGCCAAATCCATTTTCTGTGGACGGCTCAATGAATCCCCCATCCCCCGGATTCCTGATTACTTCACTGTTTCTTTGCAACCCTGCCTCAAAGTGTGAAGAATGGGCTGATACTGAAGTCCGGGCAATTTTGGAGTCCTTGAGGAAACTCTCTGTCTCATTTAGAGGCCACAGACTGATGGTTAAGGACTGGAGCAACCCTGGGACACCACTGGGGAGCGTGGTGGCAACATGCATACTCTCTGTCCGACTCGCCAAGGCGCTTGGGAGAACAGTGGAGTTGTTTAGCACCTCTGTGCTTCCAGAAGCTAAAATGGAAGAAAACATGCTTTAAGGCTAGTCAAGGGTTTAAGAAAATCAGGGATGTATCTAGATACAAATAATGCTTATTACATTTTGTTGCATAAATCTAGATGATGTGGACCTAAACACAGATAAACACATCCGACATTCTCTCTTCCCGGGCTCTGATTCTCATAGAGCTAAGCAGAGAAGCGGTGAGGTCCTGCACCCAGCACAATGGGAAGCTTTGGCTCTAGCTGAAAGGAAGATGGAAGAAAGCCTCTAGACATTCTTTGCCTTGGTTTTTATAGAGGAAGGAAAAAACTTCTACTCTGGAATTCCAGCTTAGAGATTATACAGGGATAGGCCATTGTGATAAGGTACACGCTCTTGTTTTGTTTTATTTTAGCAATGTAACCCTTTTGTTCAAATGCTATTATAGATTAAAACCCATATATATAAATGAATAAAAGTAAGGCGGTTCCAGGAGCCCAGCCCCCAGGTCACCCCTGGGGAGGCCAGGGCTCTGCAGACCACAGTGGGAATAATACTAGCCTAGAGCAATCATTCCGGGCCTTGTCCCCATCAAGGGTTCTATATTCTTTATTATTCCCACCTCATGGCCACGTAAACCTGATGTTTTGAAAGACTATTAACCGGACCGCATTTAAGAAGTAACAGAGCTTCTAGTCAGCGCAATGTTACCCCACTGATTTATTTAATTCCATCCAAAAGCAAACAGGCTCCGTTATTATAGTCAGCCTCATTAGGCTTTGGAGACCGGCTCTCAAGCTTACGTACGACCCCAGTGGACCCCTGGAAGATCAAGGACTCCAGGTAGGGAACACTTTTTCTGATGAAAAGGATGGCAGACACTGGATTAATTGTCAAGAACCTCAAAAATTGAATTATAGGCCATTTTGGTAAAAATATGCAGTCTGTTCCACAGAAGTAAGGTGGCTTGCTGATGGCTCTCTTCCACGAAGAACTTTCCAAAGGACACCCTGAGAACTGGCCTCCGGAAGGGCACACTGACGTCCTCATTCCAAACAGGAATAAACCGCAGGAAAGCGTGGTGAGTGGGAAGAAACATGGCCGGCAAGATCCAAGGGCAAGAAAAAACATTTTTCTTTTTAAGCCAAAAATAATAAAAAGTACTCTACACCTTTATAATGAAAGGTTTCAAGCTGTTATTTATGACCTAGAAAGGGAAGAATTAAGTTCTCATTATAAATGGTCCCTTAAAGGGGCGCCTGGGTGGCTTAGTCGGTTGAGTGCCCGACTCTCGGTTTTGGTTCGGGACCTGATCTCAGGGTCACAAGACTGAGCCCCGCATCAGGCTCCATGCTCAGTGAAGAGTTTGCTTGAGATTCTTTCCCCCTTCCTTCTCCCTCTCCCTCTGCTCCTCCCCCTGCTTGCACTCTCTCTCTAAAATGGATAAATAAAATCTTAAAAAAAATAGGTCCCTTGGGGTGCCTGGGTGGCTCAGTCGTTAAGCGTCTGCCTTCGGCTCAGGTCATGATCCCAGGGTCCTGGGATCGAGCCCCGCATCGGGCTCC